GGGGGCAGTGGGCGGTGGTTGGAGGGCAGGGGGAAGGCCGCCGCCGCCTGCAGCAGCGCCGCGACGAGAGCGAGCAGCTGCTGCTTTGGGGCGCCGTCGCCGTCCTCGTCGCTCTTCTCGGCCTCGATGCGGAGGCCGAGGAACCAGAAGATGTCGGCCAGGTCCGACTGCACCCGCGGCAGCAGCGCCCGGTCGACCAGCGCCGCGTCCGAGAGCACCGTCACGAGCCGCTCCGGCTCGAGCGCGCCGCGCACGACGGCGGAGGAGAGGTCGTGCAGGACCACCTTGAGCGGGTTGGGCGCGGACGGGTCGGCCGGCGACGCCGCCGCCTCAGAGATGGCCGCGGCGCAGCCCTCGTCGCTCCAGTTGTCGAGCAGCGACTGCGACATTGTTGTGGCCAGCGTGTGCGCTGAAAAGAAGAATTTTGAAGGCCCCTCTCACAGCAGACTGGCTCGGACTGGCACTACAAATGGCACAGCAGGCGACGGCCCCTTACGGGTCGTCAAAGAGGCCGGCGAAAAGAAGAAAACGCGCCTTTGCTGGATTTGAGGTTGCCGACTGCACTCCAAGTGCTCCAAGGAGCCGCCTCACCGGCCCTCGCCAACGCCTCAAAAGTGGCGCAGAGTGAGGCGGCGCCCCGAGCGAGCACGTGAGCCCCGTGGCTCCAACCGGGCCTTCCTTTTTTGAGCAGGTGTGCTGCGCGATGGCTCTCTCGCTGACTGTGACACGCCAGAGGAGAATTTTACAACCCAAGCCTGCTCTGGGCGCGCTTCTTAGCTCCCTGGCCCTGGATGTGAGGTTGATGACTGCACTCCAAGTGCTCCAAGGATTTGCCGCTACGGATAAAACGAGGCGCACCGGTCACGCTTCGGCGGCGAGCCGCAAACATTCGCAGGGGTTCAGGCGTGCCTGGACGTCTTCCTCGCCGGGTGAGAGGGTGGGGCGACTCGGGCAACCTCTCGGACAATCGACACGCGCTTTGATTGATTGATAGGAACGCTACTCTTATTTATCTCGAAGACTCTGTGGGCCCACAGCAGCACTGATCTCTCACAAGTGCAGCAGCAGCACTCGTGCTCGATTGAAATTGTAACTTCACTCACAAGTGACATTATCCACGCCATTCTTAGAGGGAACGCGAGATTACGGTGCCGGGAGGGAGGGCGGCAAGCAAAAGCTCGCAGGGAGAGGCGATGGCGACCCGGCACGTGGGTCCAGCGAGGAAAGAATCTACGCCATCGCGAGAGTGTATAGGGAGCGGGGCTCCAGACCCAGACGAGAGGTCCTCACAGAGCAGACAGAGGTCCTCACGCGGCAGGAGATGCGGAGAGGTCCTCTTACGCGACACGGCACCCCCCAGTATTGAAAACCCTCGAGTGAAAACCGCCCCTGTGTTGCAACGAGAAATGGCCCCACCACGGCTCCCAGGAGACCGAATAGTGGATAGCAAGGGATTGTCTTGATGTGGCGACGAGATAGATCTCTGGTGAGGACCTCTGCGTCGTGAGGACCTTCGGGGGCCAGTGAGGACCTCTCGCTGTGAGGACCTCTGAGCTGGCGCGCTCCACAGGACAGCCAGGACGTAGCTACGCCTGGCGCGTACTCCCCCCGACCGCAAAGTAAAGCAGCGCCGTTCCACAACCGGCGGGGCTTTTCCGGTGTCAAAATGACCGCGGGCGGTGCAGAGATCGCGGGGGAGGGAGACAGCTCGTGTCGCTCTCTTAGACTTAGTTGAGCTAAGACAAAACAAAGTGTTTTGGAGGTGCGGAGGAGATGTGCCGTTCCGAGGGGATTCTGTAAATTGTATTCCGCGGGAGGCTTCGGTGCAGCGTTCGTGTCCGAATGAACTGCTGGGCTCGCGCTTTCGCTCGCTGGGGCGCATGGAGATCCACGTCGGCAAGGACGGCTCCAACGGCGAGCCTCGCAAGGACTCGTACAACGACCCCGCCACCTACGCTACGAGGCGCCGACCTGTCTGTCCGACCGACATCAAGCTGCTCGGCGGCTGCTTCATGCCGGTCGTGGACCGCTTCAAATATCTTGGTAGCTACCTCAACCGCGACTGCAGCGACGGGCTCGACGTCGACAGCCGGATCCCGGCGAAAACATGATCCTTACCTTCAAACAGGACTTGGGGGGGGGGGGGCCTGCTGTGAACAGATTGACCCGCACATCGCTGGTGTCGGACGGGCTCTGTGCTCGCCATTGCTCCGCCGAGCAGCTCGCCGCTGGCGCTGCTATTCCTTCCCACACCAATCGCTGCTGCTGCGATTGCTGTCTCTGCGGCTGCCTCCTCTCGCGCATGCCCCTCGACGGCAGCAGCATGTTCCGAAAATGGATAAAAAGCGGCGCGGCGGCAGCGCCGTCGACAGAGGACGGCGCGGCCTCACTAGGAAGGTGCTCTCCAGTGCCTGCGGGCGGCGCTGCATCCGTCGGCTCGCGCGCGAGCAAGGGCGCGCACGACGCGAGCGAGAGCGCCGAGGCGCTGCAGAGCCAGCTGGAGAAGCTGGAGGAGGAGTGCCAGAAGATCAAGCACCAGCTAGCGAGGGTGCGCTCTCCGCTCCTGCCCGCGAGCCGCGGCCCTGGACGGCGGCCGGCCGGCCCTGGCAGCTCGCCGCCGCACCGCTGCGCTGCGCTCGCACGCGCGCGCCTCGCGCGCACCGCCGCACCGCCAGAGAAGCAGACAGCGCGCAGACAGACGCTGCGCCGCATCTGAGCCCTCTCAACACACCGCGCGCGCGCAGGTGCACAACCACGCGGAGCTGTCCATCGAGGTGGTGGACGAGGATCTGACCCTGGTGCGCTCGCATGCCACGCGCCGCGCCGCTCGCCGCTCGCACGCGCCCGCCGCCCCATCCGACCGGCCAGCCGCCGCCAGCCCGGCCGCCGCTGCGCTCTCTGCCGCAGCCGCTGCCGCCAGACGCAGCCAGGCGACGCGTCAGAGCGTGGCGGGCGGAGGCGGCGGCGGCGGCGGCGGTGGCGGCGGCGACCTCACACACCGCCCGCCCAACGGACATTGCGTGGAGATGGCAGCGCCCTGCAGCGCCAGACGGGCCGCAGCGCCGCCGTCTCCTTCCCTCCCCCCGGAAGCCCAGCCCGGCACGGAAGCTGTCCGCGCCGCCCTCGCCACTGCGGCCGCCCGCGCCGCCCGCCGCCCGCGCCGCCCGCCGCCCGCGCCTCCCCTCAGCAGCGCTCTCACCACGCCGCCCCCTCCTCCCCTCGCCTCCCCTCCGCCCCCCGCCGCGCTGACCGCTGTCCGCAGTCCCACCGCCGCGCAGCCCGCAGTCCCACCGCCGCGCAGCCCGCAGTCCCACCGGCCGGCCGCCCCCCGCCGCGCAGACCCGCTCTCGCTTCTCGCGCGCCGCCCCGGGCGCCACGCCGGCAGGCTCGCTGATGCCGTCGAAGGAGGGTTCGATCAAGCGGGGGGCCGGCGCGCGAGGAGCGTCAGCGGGCGGCGGGCGGTCGACGGTGGGCGATTCCCTAGAAGACGGAACGCGGTAGCTCGAGGTAGTCGTGTGCTCCCAGCCAGCGCTCGAGAGGACGCGCACTCCGCCGGACTCGACCACACTCCGCTGCAATCCACACTGTGTGCTGCTATCCCTCGCATTCGCGCGGTGCTCTGAGCACTGTGCACGACTACTCCTCCCGCCCTCATGCTGGCGCGTTCACACCGCAGTCTTCACACCGCAGTCTTCACACCGCAGTCTTCACACCGCAGTCTTCACACCGCAGTCTTCACACCGCAGTCTCCACACCGCAGTCTTCACACCGCAGTCTTCACACCGCAGTCTTCACACCGCAGTCTTCACACCGCAGTCTTCACACCGCAGTCTTCACACCGCAGTCTTCACACCGCAGTCTTCACACCGCAGTCTTCACACCGCAGTCTTCACACCGCAGGCCGGCGGCGTGGCGTCCTCCCTCAACAGCTCCTCCATCGCCAGCATGTCTTCCTTTGGTCCTCGCATGTCCTACGCCGTCCGGTGCGATCTCCCCAGATCTCCCCATATCTCCCCTATATCTCCCCTATATCTCCCCCTGTATCTCCCCTATATCTCCCGCGCATGTCCCCATGTCGTCTAGACGTGGAGTCGCGAGACTAGCCTCGCCCTTGCCCCACCACCTCGTGTGTGTGTGTGTGTGTGTGTGTGTGTGTGTGTGTGCGTGCGTGCGTGCGTGCGTGTGTGTGTGTGTGTGTGTGTGTGTGTGTGTGTGTGTGTGTGTGTGTGTGTGTGTGTGTGTGTGTGTGTGTGTGTGTGTGTGTGTGCGTGCGTGCGTGTGTGTGTGTGTGTGTGTGTGTGTGTGTGTGGAGAAGTGTGCCTCACCACCCCCTTCCCTTTAGGCCCGCGCCGTCGCCCGGCGCCGCCGCGTCGCACGCGCCGACGTCAGCAAAGGACCTGCTAGCGATGGTGCAGCGGGGCAGGAAGCGCGCGCAGTACAACTCTCGCGTTGACTCGGAGGAGCGCGGGCTGGTGGTGCCATACCCTCCCGAGTCCTCGAATCCGGCGTGGGTTCAGGTCCCGTGGGTGGTGCGGTAGGAGCTCGCCGCGCTGACGGGCAACGGCGCCGTGACGCTGCTGCCGCGAGGAGGGGTGCATGTGAGGACGCGGCACGGTCCGGTGCAGTTTGGAATCCCGCCAGAGACGATCAAGGACTCGCTGCAGCTTGGGCTGGACGTGCCAAAGGTGTATCTCCCCTATATCTCCCGTATATCTCCCCTATATCTCGCTGCAGCTGGGCCTGGACGTGCCAAAGGTGTACGTGGTTGGAAAGGAGCGGTTCAACCTCAAGTTTGGCACAAACACCGCCGAGTTCGAGTTCCCCGCCTACTGGAACTTCTTCATCAAGGCAGCTCGTAGCTCATTCTCCGTTGATTAACAGCCCATTCATAGCGAGTGAAGGGCTCGAGTTCCCCGCTACGGGAATTCTTTGAGCAAGGCAGTGAATAGTTCACTAACTGGAGCCGCTTCGCCAAGGCCAGCTTGTCCCGCGCGCGCCGTAGGAATAGGTTGTGTAGGGGCTTGCCCCAGGTTAGGGCTAGGCTTGTACCCCAGGGGGCTGCGTCTCAGCTAGAGCTACCTTAGGGCTCTCCGGGTACAGCTCAGGCCTAGCTCAGGCCCAGCTGTGAGGAGCGGCGTAGGCACTCTCCGCCCACCCCGCCCCCTCCCCTCCCCCTCCCCTCCCCCTCCCCTCCCCCTCCCCTCCCCCTCCCCTGCTCTCAGGGCGACAAGACGACGGTGGTTTGCGCAGCGGCGGCAGCGGCTGTGATTCGGCAGGTGCTGGAGAGGGGGGGGGGATGGTGGAGGGGGGTGGTGGAGGAGAGCACTGCGCTCATCGCTGGCTGGTGGATGGGTTAGGTGATGGAGGAGGTGCTGGAGGGGCCTGCGGAGGAGCACCTGCACCAGGTGCCTCTATGTGTCCCCTGCATCTCCCCTGTATCTCCCCTGCATCTCCCCTGCATCTCCCCTGCATCTCCCTTGTATCTCCCTTCCAGGATGACGAGTACTCGCCCTTCGTCGACGACTCGATCTACGCCGCGCGGCCCGACCTGCTGCGCGAGATCGGCTACTTCAAGGAGCAAATGAGCGTTAGTCATTGGAATAGTGAGAGAGAGACGGAGAGAGAGACCTGCTGCGTGCCTTCAAGGAGCGACGGAACCACCCTTCATTGCTACTTAGTATTCGCTATCAGCCAGCACTGTTCGCCATTCTTCGGCATTCTCCGTCGCCGTAGGAGCCGCGCAACGGCCGCAAGATCGAGGCCGACACGTTGCTGCAGTTTGTCGAGTTTGCGTGCTCCGAGGAGCTGCCGGCGGGGCACCTCCTCGCTCGCATGGCTTTCGACGACGGCACGATCGAGGTGATCGACCGCGGCGCAGAGTACGACGTGCGAGTCGACGACGAGCTTGTCGCGACGGTGCCCGACTGGCTCTCCTCCGCCATCGCCGACCCGCCGCACATCCTGATGCCGATGGCGACGGCCGTCGGCGACGCGATCGACTTTGAGGCGCCGCAGTTCGGCATCACTGTCCTCGGCGCCGCCGACGGCTTCACCGCCGCAGGCACGGACGCCGTCTCCGTGCGTGAATGAACTCATCTCCTTCCTTGGGTGCCTAGCCGGTTGGTGATGTGACTGAAGGCACCACGGCGGGCTTCACTCCCTCCCTCCCTCCCTCCCTCCCCCCCTCGCCTCCCTCCCTCCCTGGAGAATGACTGGCTGTGAATGACTAGCTGTGAATGACTAGCTGTGAATGACTAGCTGTGAATGAATGAAGGCACCACGGCGGGCTTCATTCTTTGGATGCGTGGGCGGGGCATCCTGGTGGACCCGCCCGCCCACTCTGCTCACTACTTGCGGCGCAACGGCATCTCGAGCCGCGAGATCACGCACGGCATCCTGACCTATCATCAGTGAATGAAGTGTTGATCGATTAACCAATAGGCATCTCGAGCCGCGAGATCACGCACGTCATCCTGACCTATCATCAGTGAATGAAGTGTTGATCGATTAACTAATAGGCATCTCGAGCCGCGAGATCACGCACGGCATCCTGACCTATCATCAGTGAATGAAGTGTTGATCGATTAACCAATAGGCATCTCGAGCCGCAAGATCACGCACGTCATCCTGACGCACTGCCACGCGGACCACGACGCGGGCACCTTCCAGAAGATCCTCCTCGAGCAGCGCGTGACCGTGCTCACGACGCGCACCATCATGGCCGCTTTCGTGCGCAAGTACGCCCCCATCTCTGAACTACGACGATTATTATTATTACTACTATTATTATGATTATTATTATTGTTGTTGTTGTTGTTATTGTTGACAGGTACGCCCTTCTCTCCGAGATGAACTACGACCACTTAATTAATAAGCGATTGTCAACTGTGATTCATTAAGGTACGCCCTCATCTCCGAGATGAACTACGACTTTTTGCAGCGCCTCTTTTGCTTCCACTCGGTCAAGATCGGGGAGCCCGTGCACTTCCAGGCCTCGCACCTCCCTCGCGTCTCCCCAATCTCCCTGACATCTCCCTGACATCTCCCTGGCATCTCCCTGGCATCTCCCTTGTACCTCCCCGACATCTCCCCGACATCTCCCGAGCACCTCCCCGACATCTCCCCGACATCTCCCGAGCACCTCCCCGACATCTCCCCGACATCTCCCGAGCACCTCCCCGACATCTCCCCGACATCTCCCGAGCACCTCCCCGACATCTCCCCGACATCTCCCGAGCACCTCCCCGACATCTCCCCGACATCTCCCGAGCACCTCCCCGACATCTCCCCGACATCTCCCGTGCACTTCCCCGACATCTCCCCGACATCTCCCGAGCACCTCCCCGACATCTCCCCGACATCTCCCCTTCCCAGGGCGGCTCCATCAAGTTCTTCTATTCGCTGCACGCGCTGCCATGCATCGGCTTCCGCGCCGAGCTCGCAGGCAAGTCCATCGGAGATATGGGGAGATATGGGGAGATATGGGGAGATAGAGAAGGCTTCCGCGCCGAGCTCGCAGGCAAGTCCATAGGAGATATGGGGAGATATGGGGAGATAGAGAAGGCTTCCGCGCCGAGCTCGCAGGCAAGTCCATAGGAGATATGGGGAGATATGGGGAGATATGGGGAGATAGAGAAGGCTTCCGCGCCGAGCTCGCAGGCAAGTCCATAGGAGATATGGGGAGATATGGGGAGATATGGGGAGATAGAGAAGGCTTCCGCGCCGAGCTCGCAGGCAAGTCCATCGTCTACTCCTCCGACACGCACCTGTGAACGGCGCCTCTTCACACCTCAAGCTGTGAACAGGCAAGTCCATCGTCTACTCCTCCGACACGCACCTGTGAACGGCGCCTCTTCACACCTCAAGCTGTGAACAGGCAAGTCCATCGTCTACTCCTCCGACACGTACTACGACCCCGACGGCCTCGCAGCGCTGCAGCAGCGAGGAATCATCTCTGCCGAGCGGCGCGCGCGCGCCTCACCCTAGCGATCTCGCCCATATCTCGGCTGCATCTCGGCTGCATTTCGGCTGCATCTCGGCTGCTGCGGAGCTTCAGCGGAGAGTCACCCCCCTCCTTACCCCATTCCCCCACTCCCTCAACCCCCCCTCCCTAACCTCCCCCCCCCCCCCCCTTCCCCCCTCCTCCAAAGGTGCGCCTCGCTCTGCACCGACTGCTCCGTCCAGCAGGCGACGCACTGCTGTCCTAGACACTTCCTAGACACTTCCTAGACACTTCCTAGACACTTCCTAGACCTTTCCTAGACACTTCCTAGACACTTCCTAGACACTTCCTAGACCTTTCCTAGACCTTTCCTAGACTGCTCCGTCCAGGAGGCGAAGCGCTGCTGCACGAGATATGGGGGAGATGTAGGGGAGATATAGGGGAGATATGGGGAGATCGCACTGCTCCGTCCAAGAGGCGAAGCGCTGCTGCACGAGGGAGGGGTGGGCTGTCTTGCTCCAGACGCCATCACCCAGTCTCAATTGTTCATAGGCGGACCTACTGCTGCACGAGGCATCGCCCCGATCCACACGCCCTTTCCTAGACCGTTCCTCGACCGTTCCTGGACCTCTCCTAGGCCGGCATCGCGCCGATCCACACGCCCTTCGACGCCCTCGCCAAGCTGCCCGACAACATCAAGCGGTTCGCCATCGCGGCAGTGCCGCGACGCCGCGCTGACCTGTTCACCATCCGTGAGGAGGAGGGCATGAATGATAGGTCCATCCGCGTGATCCACTGCAACCTTTCCTCGACCTTTCCTAGACCTTTCCTGGACCTTTCCTCCTCGTAGGTCCATCCGCGTGATCCACTGCAACGATGCGCGCGCCGCCGAGTCGGAGTTCGAGAAGGTGCGAGATTCGCCGAGATTCGCCGAGATTCGCCGAGGTTCGCCGAGGTTCGCCGAGGTTCGCCGAGGTTCGCCGAGGTTCGCCGAGGTTAGTCGGAGCTCGAGAAGGTTCCTTCCCCCCCCCCCCTAT